AAGCTTTTTTCTTTTTAATCCTGTCTGACCTGAAAAGGAGAGGCTACAAACTCCATTACCCTAGGAAGCTTAGTATAAACCTGAGCCTATCTAAATTGCCCTATATAACTTCACATCGGGGGGGGGAGTTCTTTTTATTTTTGTTTGGTTTTATGATGCTATTTTGGATCCATGATGCAGGTAAAACAAGAAAGCCAAGCAGCCTCTGTAAAGCAGCTAATAGAAACAAATACAATGACCTTTGACAGCCAGCATTTCAAATGTGCTCTAAGCAGCTCTAGAATGAGGGCACACATCTCATAAATAGGACTCTAAATTAGGACAAAAGTAAGCCAACCTGGGCAATTTGGCCACGGGAGATAATCTATTTTAACCAGAAACAGGGTCTGCATCTCTCTGTTGACTTTTTATTCCTTATCTTGTACTTCCTGTTTTCTTTTAATCTGAGACTTCATGACAACCCATAACACTTATCAAGATGCAACCTCAGCATTCCACGAGCAGAGTCCACCTGCTCATCTCTGTGAGCAGCCCTCACTTTCCAAGGTAGTCCTGGAAGCCTGTTGCTATAATAGCACAGCAGCAAAAAAACTACAATCATACTCATACTTCTTTCAAACTGAATATCCATTTATCTTCTTTGACTCCAGCTGGGACCAATATTTGGCATAGCTTTACTCACTAGAGGATTCCAGAGCTTGACCACTCTTGCCATAGCCAGATGCAGATTCTTCAAACACAGAGGAAATAAAAAACAACCTCTAACATATTAAATATTGCTAGTAAGAACAAAAAAATTTAAAACAGGCCTACACAAAGCAAAAGCTGGATTGCTAATGAACAAGAAAACCTTATGGGTCTACGAGGATGTCCATTAAATTCTGTAGTCCTCTATAACTTCAAAGGATGGTTGTTTTCAGTCTAAATACTAATTTAAAATCAAGAATTTTTGAGAAGAGGATTTCTTCCTTCTCATTACAACAGAAAGACTGATAATTTATCTCTACTTCTCAAAGCATGCACACGCCCAGTATCTTTACTAAAAAGCGCCCTCTTCAAATTTCATCATGCCTTGTCCCTCTGAAGTGACAATCCTCACTATGAGTCCTGAAGAAAAAACGACAAGTCCAGTCTAGGCAGAGCTTCAAGCTGAATCCAAAATGATAAAGATTTCAGATTTGACCATTTCCCGTTTCACACAGCACTGCCCGATGTACCTGGAGAGAGCAAACACCATTTCTGCCTGGCAGCAGCCTCAGTGGGACACCCCCTGTGCTTTCACAGCTGTGCCAGCTGCATTCCCACACATCTCAGCCCTGCACACAGAAAGCTGCTTCAACAAAACTCGATGGACAGGACTGTTCCAGAAGTGCTACTGACACTTTTAAAAGTTCAGCCAGTACAAACCCAGAAATAGCCAGGAAAAAGGATGTTTGCCTTCACAGAATACACCGTGTCCCTCACATACATTTTTCTTCTGGTAATCCTTAGGACTACACGGGGAAAGAAAACATGCACACAGAGCAGTGCCTCAGCAAGAAAACAGGCCTTGTTTTAACATGCACATTGATAAAACTGAGGAAGATACAAGTATGGTACAAGTGAGCAAACTCACATATATATCTAAAAAGATTCTTTAAAATACAAAATTCGAGAAAAACTGAGCATGAATTTAGCCATGTAAAGTTTTTCAGTTAGGTTCTATTCCCTGCATTTAAAAATAGAAGACCAAAAGTTTCTGTGCAGGAGTATCCTGTGAATTAGTATCTCATAAAAGCACAATCTTTTCTACAAAGTATTTGTTATGATTCTGTGTTTCTCCCCTTAGGCTTTTCTCATTTTAAAAAGGTAACATAACCATTTAGCAGGCCAAACACTTGACTGAAGTTTCACTGTACTAGGAAGAGCTCCATCTACTATTCCCCAGTGAAAGCCAGTCACCTGTAAAGCACGAACAGGAGAGGCAGTGACTCTGATTGCTGACACTCTTGTGACCAACTGCACCACTCCATCACTGGGTTCTGCTCAGCCTCTTACAAAGAAACTTCTATGAAGAACTTTGGTGGGATTCCTCATGAGCCACTGCAGTTCTAACTGAACAATAAAACCACACTCAGAAGCACAGAACTCCCTTCTCATTACAGAAAACTAATGAGAACATGCTTATTGAGTAAATTAATGAATGAAGAAGCAAGACAGGTCCCAGTGTTCCATTTCTAATTCCTTTTATAATGGCTCTAACTCTACAAAACTTAACTCGAGCTGAAAATGTACCTGGATTGCTTCAGACCTTTGCCAAATCTCACTCTACAAATACCTGAGCCCAGAATGATGCTCATTTTAGAATATTCACTTTCTCTTCACAGAATCAACAATCACTTTTTTCCCTCAAAACACTGATCCAGATTGCATGACAGTTCATTGTACAAGCAACATTAAAAAAAAAAAAAAAAGCCACAGGGCTTTTGGGTTTTAAAATAAAATAAGAGCACAATATTTGCCTTTTTCTGCTCCTAGCTCCTCAAAAAAATGGTGCTTTATTAGAAGGCTTGGGGGAATACTGGAGGTATAGCAGCAAGCTGGCAGAGCCCCAGTGCTGCCTTGTGTTAGTGACCACACACAACTCCCAGTGCCTGCAGGAGCCTGTGCCCAAGGAGAGACTTAAATGAAATAACTTTTTTTTTAAGCAAAGACCAGGATGGAGAACCTCAAGCATCTACATTAAATTTTAATAACATGTTTGAGAATGGAGTTTTTATTCCTAAAAATATTCACAACTAGCAGGTCTCTCCTGACAAAATAAGAAGAGTCCTCAACTTCCAAAGAAGTAAGTGGAAACTGGAGGTACTTCACAACAGTTATTAAAACGGACTGAAAATTCTGGATTATACCTGCAGAATTTAACTTTACCTTAACTATGGCTATAAAAGGTATGCAAATTAAAAGGTTTAACACTTGAAAGAGCTGATCAAAAAACTTCATCAAAGATAGACAGGCATACTATCAGACTGAGTATGTCCTTACCTCTGTTGTTAAAAAATGTGCAATTTCATCATTCAGAATGATGAAACCACAAGACTTAAAGGAAAGACTTCTCAGACCTATTTTAAATCAGTAACAAAACTCACACCACCACTCATGGATTCCAAGTGGCAATGGAGACAAAAGCTTCTGGACCTTCCACCATTTCACAAGAAAGCATTCACATACTCTGGTATTACATGGTAGTATAATGGGGGTTTAGGGCCAAGAAGGCATAAATTTGGGTGTTCCTTATACAATTCTTACCCTGTGGTAACTTAATGTTGTTTCATATCTTAAAGACTCAAGAGACCGAATGTAGAAATATTTTTAATCGTGAAAATAAGATAAAAATCTCTTTCAGCCTAGAGTAATAACCAATAAGAATTTTATAGAGTTGCTGCATTTTAGCTTATTGAATATCAATCCCGAAGTGCTGTGAACCATAAAAAAAAAAACAACAGGAAAGATTGTTATACCTTTATGCAGATGAAGTTCTCGATGTATTTAAATTAGAATTTTTCAGCTCATTTAGCAGTCTGTGCATTTTACAGCACAGATCACTTCAGCTGCTAATGCTGTTGGGAAGATCCATTCCTGTTTATTATGGAGACACTTCATTTAGCTGGCTTAAAGGTTAGTGCATATTCACTGCTTATTCCAGGAGAGACTGCAGCTTATGGAGCAACTCCAATAGAGCCTTTACAGCCAGGAATGCACTGGAATAGCACAAGTTAATAATGTCCACTTTGTGGAACTATGGTAAAAAATATCAGACCAAAAAAAAAAAAAAAAAAGAACTAGAAACAGCATCTACACAGAATGTAACACTAAGTGATGCAGAGATGGAACATCTTGGGAAAAGGTGGCACAGCAAGTACCTCTCAAAAATCCTACTGAGGCCCGTTCCATTTGCACTATACTTAGTCCCAGCACAGATATAACTTCAGTGGTCAGAACTGTCTCCATCAGTTTCTGCTATAGCTGCTTCTGGTCAGTTTGAACTGACCATTCTCTCTACATGAGTATTTAGGTCCAGAGAAGCAGTGCAATTTTGGAACAAAGGAACCCATCAGCCCCTCTTAGTGAGCACTGGTTAAACTCAGTGCCCGTGAAGTGATTCCTGAGAAGGTGATTAAACCCCATGTGCTGCTCCAGGTACTGGCTGTGCTCCTTTTCTAGTGGGGACATAAAGGCTGTCGTTTGACCAGTTCCACACCACACGTGCAGCAGGGACGTTTGCATCCTTGATTACACACAACACAGAGGAAAATCACAACCCAGATAGGTTACAGATGCTCTCAGCACCAACTGACCTACTGATCCACCCCTTGGAGTCACTATTTGCTAATGCACACACAGCCCACAGACCCTTACATGCCAGCCTCCAGCTCTTTCCAGCTCCTCCTATGAAACAGCCTGAACAGCACAAAGATATCCACACAGAAGAATTTTTGGAGAGGATTTCCTACTACAAGAATTTCTCGTAAACAGAAATTTTCGCTCCTTCAGAATTGATGCTATTTCAGTTCTACAAAATCAAAGACTTATACAAATGTTAATGTTGCTTTTGACAAACGATAAGAGGTTACTTGTCCAAGATAATGTATAAGCATTGGACTGTAAGCACATCAAGTTACACGATGAATATGGTACTTCTAATTTTCCAGACTGTAAGCCAGCCACCAACAAAGGCAGAAACAGGAAACTGTATGCATATTTGTTGTTTAGAAATAATGCATTTTATCTTCTAGCAGGTCATTGTGGAACCAGATCTACATTAATTAGAATCATGTTTTTACACAGCTCACTGCATGGAGAAAAGCGAAGAGGAATCCACAGCAACTTTCTGCAGTCTTACCTCAGCTTTATCCGTAGATTAATTCTGTAGCATGCCAGAACACATACCAGAAAAGAAAATACAAAGTGGCAAAATAGCAAGAAACACACAGAAATACCACAACACAATTCTGACTTACCTATGTGATAAAGTCCTATCCAGTCAGTTGGATCTACTTCTTCCTTAATATCCCAGAAAATGATGAGGTTCTGAGACTGTCCCAAGGTATATTCATACATGCTGGCTGTCAGACTAGACCTGCTATCCGAGGTCACTAGATCAGTGTCACTGTTGGCACGCTGCAAGTTCATGTTCTCAGGCATGGTGCCCTGCGAGGCCAGGCTCTGCAGGTTCTCGGGGCTCAGCGTGTACCGGAGCTGCGGGTTGCGACGGCGCACGAAGAGCAGGTGCTCTCGGGCTGAGCTGGCCATCTCTCCTCCACTTCTGTCAATTCACGTAAAAAAGTTGTTGTTCAGAGATCTATCACAAAGGAGGAAAAAAGAAAGTGTTAAGTGAGACAGGAGGTGACTCAGTCAGTTATTAAATGGAGAAGTATTAGTGCAAAAATGTTCCCACAGAAGCCTGAAACAGACTGAGTACAATCTTCTTCATTGCTCTACCACTGCAAAGAACTGAGTGTCTGTACATTAAAAAAACTCCATGATTCACTTACAACAAAATTCAGAGTTAGCCATACACCACAAAGAAACATTTTTAAGCCAGAAAACAGCAGAAAGCAAATAGTTCAAGACAATCTATGAAGCAAGAACAGCCACAGTAACAAAGCTAATTTAAGTCTGGCCTTAAGAGTGAAGTAAACTTAAGAGCAAAGACATCATGAACTCATCTACCATAAACATCACAGCAATCACAGCAATACATGATGTTTATGGTAGTTTCAACAGTACTCTCTATGCACTGTTTGATCAGTGTGAGTTAAGTGTCGAAGATAATAGTAAGATTGGACATATTTCAGTAGAAATATTGTATCACAGATTTATGCTACAATAAAATCATCTTGTAAGGATTTTATCTCATAAAGTACAAAGCAAAGCTTCTGAGGTCCTCTATACCACACAAAAATATGTCAAACCATTGAGGTACTTTAGATTATGGCTATATATCCAATTAGTCCATTCATCTGTGCAGTCAAATTTTTTGTTGTCCTTCACCATCCATTAGAAAACAGAGGTCTTAAAAGCTCTTCAGCAAAGGAGTTGCCATTGACTGTTTTCCTCCAGCCCTGAGCAGACACTTCCCTGAAGTGTCTTTCCTGAAAGGGGCATGCCAATATCATCACACCATACATTCAGAATCAGAACTTGCATTTCATTATCCATAGCTTGTAAATTATTGTCATTTCAAAATAAACCCTCACATTACTCACAGCTTACAATAAGTCATAACTCATCTTCAATTTTCTTTTCAATAACATTTCAGTGTATGAACTCTTCAAGCATACCAAAAATTTTCCTGCTGTTGTTCAGCTTTTATTAAATGGGAGATGTTTTGAAACACTAAGAACTAACAAAGGGGAAAAATAAAGTTCAACTTATCCAATTGTGTGCAGTGTATCATGTATGTGATTCAGCATCAAATAATGCAGAAAAGGAAGAAAACAAAAATTCTACATATACAGAAGCAACATAGAGATGAACATGTTTACTTCACAAAGTACATGACACAGTCTTTCCTGACATGAGGACTATTTTGGCTGCATACACATTTTATTTCTGGTGCAGGACGTCAGCAGGGTACACTACCTCTGCCATGTTCTTGCACACTCTGCCTCTGACATTGGGGTCAATGACAAAACGGAAGCTTTGATAAAAAGGGCCTTTTTTAATAGTCAGGGAAGTCAGCATGTTGTTTCTCTATGCAAAGTTTTACTCACTAGGTCTGAAAATCCCAGAGTGCTTTGAGACTAGAAAGGTTGGTAAAAAACAGCCACCACCTTTTCTAGAAGCCAGTGAAACACACAGGGATCAGCCCTGTGATGTGAGTGACAGCACACACTACATTTAAGTGTTAAATGTCACACTGACAGAGTTCTACCCCTGAGTCAGGAGGTCCCAGTTTGCCCCTGAGGCTGCCCACCACAGCAAGCAAGCCTGGGAATCACAGCCCTCGGTGCAGGGAGATTGGGCAGTATTAATGAACAGACTGACAGAGAGCTATTAAGTTCATTTTCTTCTGTGCCACAGTCACAGATTTATGTATTCTTGAACTACTGTATTGGGTGGTTTTGTGGCAGTAAAATCACTGCAAAATAAGCGTCGTGAAGGCAGACTACAGGTTAAATACAAAGTTTTAATAGGAGGGATGAAGAAATTTCCTTCATCTGCAGAGCCTTACGCTGTACCCAGCACAGCACTGGCATTTGTTGGAACATATTGAAAATTTATATGTGGCAGATGGACAAACTCATCTGTGGTTAAAGACACATGAGAATTAACTTGTACTAGTCAGGACTGTGCCACAGTTTGAGAGATGAAAATAGCATGAGAAAAACATTAACTCCTTTGCAACAGTCCATTTTCCAAACTCCTAATGGCGATCCCTCTGGTGAAACACATTAGCTTCTGAAAGTAAACTAAACCACAAATCTAAACTCTGGGTAACTTGTTTGATCTTATTCATAATTCCAAGTGTGATCCAAACCACATAAAGCAACTGAAATCAATTTGCAACCAAACAAGTTAAACTCACATGTAAATCAGCTCCTATTGCAGATTAAAAAAAAAACCTCCAAAAATTCAGGATTCATAAGCTTTTACAGCATCTCCTAAATGCTTAAAAGGGGTTGTAAAGGGGCCCTCAAAGGGGCCCTCATGTCAGATAATATGTAGTATCTCACAGTGAAATTAATTAAGGATATTTGACACTCATATTGTAAAAGGGGAAAAGATGATTGTCATAAAACCCAAGCCGTAAGAAGTGATAGAAGGGCAAAAAGAGCCACCAATTATTTGCAACCCAGAAAAGAGATGAAAACCTTACACAGTGCCTTCCTGCCTACAAAAGAAATCAGTTCATTGGGTTAACAATTCCTGATGTCTGTCACTAATAACATAACTAACAGAACATTAACACATACATCTTACCACAGACTGAAAATAAGAATTATCCTCCCACTTTCAGTTCCTGCCAAGCGCCACTGAAACAGCATTTGCACCCAGACTGTGCTGTGAAGACAATGGCCAGGATCAGCTGTGTGCACCTGCCCTGCCACGAAGGTCAGCTCATCAAGCTGAATGGGACCGGAGCTGTGCTATCAGGGAGTGTCACACCAAGCTGGCCAGGCATATTTCATGAAGGCAAACTGAAATGTTCAACCTGAATTAAAAGCATAAGGAAATATAGGCATTCAGGAAATCAGCAGATACTAACTTTAGCGAACTATTTCAGTTGAAAAGCGAAACCTGTATCAAAGCTGCTTATCCGTATCACAGCATTTTCTTCAGTACTTGACAAGAAGCTTAGAGAGAACTAGAACTGATTTCCTCTTAATCTCTAAGTGGCCCAAGTTCAGGATTACTTCTATCTAAATATACTCCGCAATTACTAATCACAGAGGGACTAGAACTGGGAAATAGTTCCACTTAATACACAAAATAGAGATAGGAAAATCCTCTTGCCCAACCTTCTTCACCGAAGGAGACTAAAAAGAAACGTCAGACCATTTAAAAAAATACATGAATGGAAGTCCAAGAGTTCCAGCACAGGAATAACCAAAAAAAAAATCCTGCCCCACCACACAAAACAAGCCAGAGTTCCCATGCTGCCCTGTTTATCTTACTCCTAGCAGTGATTCATTGCTTGTTTATGTGGTGCTCTTTGATGTGGCTGACGGGCGCTGCTCCCAGCCGCTTCCCGCAGCACTGGGAGCAGAGGAGCTCGGCAGCGGGGCTGGCCCCGAGCACGGCCGGGGAAAGAAGCGCTCATTAACCCACGGCACCCTGAGCGAGCCCGGGGCACCGCATGGCCAGCGAGGCTCGCTGCCCTTGGCCGGCTCTGTGTGACACAGGGGGGGGAGAATCCGTCCTGAACAAATGTCCCCCACTCACGGCATCACTGAATCGCTTAGGTGGAAAAAGACCTTCACCAACATCCAGCCCAGCCATTAACCTAACACAGGTTCACCACTGTCAGTGTCTGACAACTCCTTTGCTGAAGGGATTTTCCCTAATATTCAATGTAAACCTCCCCAGGGGCAGCTTGATGCCGTTTCCTGTGGTCCTTTGCCGGTTACCTGGGAGAACAGACCAGCACCCGGCTACTTCCAGGGACTTGTGGAGGGTGACCCTGAGCCTCTTTCTTCGGGCTAAACACCCCCAGCTCCCTCAGCCGCTCCTCACAGGACCTTCACCAGCCCCCTTGTTCTCCTCTGGACACATTCACATCGTGCTCGGTGTATCTCTCAAATGCCTCTACCATACTGAGACAAGCAATCCCCATAATTATACAGGCTGAAGAACACATTAAGAATACAAAGACCAGAAAACATGCTGGTTTTCCAATTACACACTGTGTGACACTGCTTTGTTCAGTACAAAGATTTATAAATGCTACAATATAAAGTTCAAACTGCCCATCTGTCTGAGCTCTGTGTCTGAGCTCAAAGTGTCTGAGTAAATGCTTCTTGAATAAATTTAGAATTTGGAGATCCTTCTCTGCACAGAACTCAAAAATAGCATATTTGCTGGGATAAGGTACGTCCCCAGTCCCTATACTAGCTTCAAACCTGCTAGAAACTCTGGCAAAAGCAGAATAGTCAGAATTCACTGTAAATTCGGCTGCAAAACCTGCCTATGCAGCTGAGTGATAGTTAACCATGATTCACTCATACGCTTCACCACTCTGCACTTACCCTGCTTCAGCACTAGAGAGCTTTTCTCCAGCGCTTTTCTTTTCTAGAGGTGCCGTGCACCTCTGCCAGAAGGACAGATGGGCCCCTCCCAGTAAAACTCAGCAGCTACTTACTCAGCATGACCATCAGCAGCTGATTTGGCCGGAGACAAAGGGATTAACTGGACAGCTCTTTAACTAAATAGCTTCCTCTTTGTATTCTACTGTTTCAGATAGCAGATTTGGTCTATGAAAAATAAAAATAAAATAAAACAAAAACACTCACGACAAAGCTTCATCTTTCTGCCCAGATGTCCTTTTCTTGTTATTCCTGCTGGAATATTTCCAAGAATTTCTATTCATTTCTGCAGTGCAAATAATGGAATTTGTCTCAAAAGGTATTTCACTGATTAGTAGGATTTTTCTCCATTAGCTAACATTCTGTCAGATCCAAGTTAAGCTAACACATTTGGATCCTTCCTATTCAATCACAAAGATGAAGATAAAAGCTGTCACAGTATTCAAGAGCCAAGAAAAATCAGTTCTTTGGGATGTCTATTTTTCCCCACTGATTAACAAGGAGAGGGTAATAAAGCTTTTTCACTTACATGACCATGGCTATATCCTAAGTC